GAAAAGTTTAGTGGAATTCTTCAATAGTGCATGAAAAAAACCTATTTATGAAACCACTTTCAAAACTCAGTAAGAATATAAATCTGTAATCAAAAGTCTCATACCCACGAAACCAACACTAACAACATTTTACACCTACTTTCCTTCATAGGAGTCATACCAGGAAATATCTGAAAACTACAATCTGGGATATTTGGAAAAAAATCTGGGATATTTGGAAAACAATCCAAGGCACACCTTTTAATATAGTTGAAATTCACTGAATTGCAGATTTTTGGATGGAAAAAATAGTAGCTATTTTGCTAAAAATTAAGGACAGCTGTTAGTGTCCAGGACTTCTAGCACTGCATTTCTGACTATACCACTGCCTCATTCGTGGACCCTGGGCAAGTCACTAAGGCCTGCTCTACACACAGATTTTGTGCCAGGGTAACTATTTTGGTTAGGGGTACAGTTTTTTTAAACCAATTTAGTTATCCCAGTACAACCAAAAGCGTGGCTGTAATTCTATACTGGTACAAGCACTTTGATACCAGGTCCATGCCAGGAAGTTGTCTCACTTTCATTATACTGGTACTATTAAAATGAGAGAATTTTCATGCACCCCCCAGGCCTTACATTCGATCTGTTTCCACCTATTTATGATTTTCCACTTCTCTAAACCGCTTTGTGATGCTCACACTGAAGGAGCTCTACAAGCATAAAGTATTTTTATGGCTGCGTATCACGAGTGGGGTGCGTGGCTGGGAGCCTGACCTTTGCCTTGCCTCACAAGATATGAGGGGTAATGTAAGACCCGGGTAACATTTGCCCCTGGGTCATGGTTTACGGACAGGGCTAAGAGGGCACGCACCAGCCCGACTGATTTTCATCAATTCCATTCAGGAAAGTAAACAGAGACGGGGGGGGGGGGGGAATCCGTGCCCCGCAGACACACCCCAACAACATCCTCCAGGCACCTCAACCCGACTAGCGGCTCCTCTCATGCCCCAGGCTCACCAGCTGCCCCGACCCTCCAGCTTGCCGCCAGGTGGTGCTGCAACCCGCTAGAGTCCACAAACCCCGCAGGGGCGCCCCCAACCCGGTCCTGGCTGCTGATCGGCGCCCAGAGACACCCCCCACCTAAAGGACCGGGGCCGCGCCCCCCAGGCTTGCTGCCTCACAGGGCAGGTTAGTCGCGTCGCGGGGGCCGCTGGGAGTTGTAGTTCTCGGCCCCTCCCCTCTCCCGGCTCTCCCTGGAGCGCGAGGCCCCG